CACCACGGGGGTATAAACCCTCAGCCACGCCCGTTGCTTGACCTAGACTCCGCTCTCGCCCACCTCTGGACGGTGGCTAAAAACCCTAGATCGAGATCTTCTGGTGATTGGGGGTGGTGGAGAGGCAAGGTAGGTGGAGATCCGCGCTCCTTCGCAGAAGTGGTTGCCTCGCCTCCCATGGCGGCTGATGCGGGGCGTGGGTACCAGGGGGAGCGGTGCCAGGGCGTGGACGTGGGCCGTGTCGGGCGCTGCGGGGCGCGACTCGGGGAGGAATGCTGGTCGTGGAAACAGCCGCGGTGGAGACATGAGAAAGTACTCCTGGAAGTGGAGCGAGGACGACGGCGACCGCAGCATCTCCGCTTTGTCCAACTTCCCATCGGCTTCAGGTGACACCTATCGGTGGGAAGCTATTGCGGCGCCAAGGCACCATGAATCCCAGGATGGGGGCGTCTGGGTGGAGAAGAAGCATTCGGCGACGGCGTCGGAAGGCACAGGAAGCGGGCATCAAACTTCCTCCCCAATCTGCCGCCCGCATGGAAAGCAGAACATATCTCAGGTGCCTCCTACCAAAAATCATGTCCCATGCCCTATTTGCAAATCGCATGAACACCCTCCTGCTCGATGCCCTCAGGCTTTCTGTGAGCGATGTAACAACCTAGGGCATCTTGCTTCAGTTTGCACGATGTTTCTGCCTTGGGAGTGCATTGCTCCGATGTGTGTGTTTCAGTCTAGGGGGCAGGATTTCTACTACATCCATGATTCCTGTACAGCCAATCAGCTTAAGGAGAGGTCTAACAATATCGTAGTGACCATTGTTGAGGGGGAAATGTTGACTAGGCAGATGGAGTTGGATTTGTCTGACTATCTTGTCACTGGATGGCGTTGTTCGGCCCATGCCATTGGCCCTGGTGTGTTTGTTGTTAGATTTCCTAATCCTCGATTTGTTGCTCAAATGTGCTATGAGGGTATGGTCACTCTGAAAAAAGTGGTGTTGTTATACATGCTACTCCTTGGTCTTCAGCAGTGGGATCGAAGGGGGTGATGGAAGTGGCATGGGTGAAAGTGAGTAATGTACCCTTGGACAAGAGAAGTGAGAGAAATTTGGCTTATGTTGCCTCGCTGGTGGGTGTTCCCCTTGAGATTGATGCTGCAACTCTGCACCGTCTTGCCTCTGTTCGTGTAAGATTGGGGTGCAGGTAGGTGGATGCTATACTTGGGGTGGCTGAGGCAGTCCTTGGGGGACACTTCTATGATTTTTTCTATGAGGTGGAGCAGGTGTTGGTTAGGGATCCGAACCTTGAAAAGAAAGTTGTGAATGTATCTCCTAGCTCAGGTGGAGGGAATACAAAAAAATCTATGCAGAATGTGACTCCTGGAGCTCATATGGGCAACTCTTCGACTAGGCTTGGGGAGAAATCTCTTCCCATTCCTCAGGGAGAAGTGCCTAACCAGATTCGGGAGTCACAGGAGAGTATGCAGTCAGATGACTCTCTCCATACTACTCTGTTCATTGAGACCATAACTTGTGATCAGGATTATGAGGAGAAAGAAAAAGTAAGTTCACCTCTCCAACAAAACCTGATGGTACATGATTTTGTTAATAAAGAAAAAATCAAAACCTACTCTGATGCGGTCAAAACCTTTCGTCAGGTTGTGGAAGTGGTGGGGCAACATGATTCCAAGCTGAAAGTGATCAGTGAATATAGGGTGGACTCCCCCGAGATGAATGTTGAGGTGATCCCTACTCCCCCTTTAGTCATTAAGGAGAATCTATGCTCCAGTTTGAGGAATGTGCAGAGCAAACTAGAGTGAGTGAATGACAAGGCTGCAGCCGCAGCAAAAAAGAGAGATATGGAAGGTAACATCCGTAAATCTAATTCCTTCGACACTTTGTCTGATCATGTTCTCATTCTTAAAGCTGTTAAGATGGGTGTAGACATACCTGATTCTGACTTTGCTAATATTGATATTCTAAGAGAACTGGAAAGAGCCAGAAATAGAGATTCCTTAGAGGAATAAAAGGATAGTAATGTTAGCAAAAATAATGTTTTGTTATTGAATAATGGGAAGGGAGACCAGACCCCTCTGGACATGAGATGGAGTGAGGAGAACGATGTGGATGTGGATGAGGAACCCTCTTATCACGGGAGTGTCCACTTCCATGACGACAAATCACGCGTCACAGAAATGCTTTCGTCAAGGGTGACCGACACGTGGCATCCACCGTAACGGAACGCCGTTAAGCTATCGGGTCCGGTTGTGGATCCGATAACCCATTAACAGCCCGGACCAATGGGGATTTTCCACATGTAAAATCATCATTGGCTGGAGGAAATACATGTCAGCTCCGCGTTGGCACATGTGTCACTCATCCAATGGGCGAGATGCGCCTATGATATGTTGACACGTGGATCGGCCCAAAAGTGGCCCATAAAGTTTAAATGGGCCGCTCAAATAAAGGCCCACAAGATTATGCGACCATAATGGGCCAGGCCAGCTAAAGGCCCACGAGATTTTGCGGACCATAATGGGCCGGCCCAGCTAAAGTCCCACAAGATTTTGCGGGCCATAATGGACCAGCCCAGCTAAAGGCTGATACGTCTCCAACGTATCTATAATTTTTGATTGTTCCATGCTATTATATTACCCGTTTTGGATGTTTATGGGCTTTACTTTACACTTTTATATCATTTTTGGGACTAACCTACTAACCGGAGGCCTAGCCCGAATTGCTGTTTTTTTTGCCTATTTCAGTGTTTTGAAGAAAAGGAATATCAAACAGAGTCCAAATGGAATGAAACCTTCAGGAGCGATCTTTTTGGTACAAACCCAATCCAGGAGACTTGGAGTGGACATCAAGAAGCAGCCGAGGCGGCCCCAGGTAGGAGGGCGCGCCCCCACCCTCGTGGGCCCCTCGTGGCTCCCCTGACCTACCTCCTTCGCCTATATATACTCCCGTACCCTGAAAACATCCAGGAGCACCACGAAAACCTATTTCCACTGCCGCAACCTTCTGTATCCGCGAGATCCCATCTTGGAGCCTTCGCCGGCGCTCCACCGAAGGGGGAATCGACCATGGAGGGCCTCTACATCATCTCCAAGGCCTCTTCGATGAGTTGTGAGTAGTTTACCACAGACCT